CTAGCTTCCACAAGCAGCAACAGTTAAGCCGTTACTTTCATATATGTTGCCACAGTCTCAAATATCTGTTACCTATTTTCAAACACAAGTCTCAAGAGTAATGAAATACGTCCAGTCTCCCCCGAAAGCTTGAACTCAACTGATTCAGCGAGACCACTGATGCCTAGAGCTAGACGTGTCCCTGATCAGTTTCCCGTAGTGGACACGTATGATTTCTGTACGACTAGGGTAGGGATGTTGAATGTTATCTCTTACTGTGACTTTGTCTTCCATCTCACCTCATGAAAATATGTATCTTACTTGAAAAATTATTTTTCTATATATTTTTTTTTATTAATTAATTTATATATTTTTCGAGAGCCGTGAATTGAGTCATCGCAAGCCGCGCAATGAATACCACTGATATATAGAATAGTCACTGATGTTAGTAGACATTCTTTATTTGTTCGTCGCCCCTGTTTACTCCGTCCCTTTTCTCTTCGCCTACATTCGTCGTCTTTCTTCAGTTACCACATTTCTATGTTCATGTTGCATCTCACTTTTCCTACCCCCTTTGAAGTTCCAGCTGTTCGTGTCTGTTCTTTCTCACTCCCTTGCATGAAAGCCCAACTGCCTACGGTAGCTTCCCACTCTTTTTTTCTTGACCACTTCTGCTCTCATTCTCATGCCATCACAGTGTACACAGATGTTCTAAGTCTTCTGACGGCGTAGGATTCGCAGCATTGTTCCCGGACAGTGTTGTGCGAGGGCATCTACTATCTTTGGCTAGCATTTGTGGTTGCTTCAGACTCCTTTAGTGCTTTACAGGCTATACGAAAATTTGATACACCTCACCCCCTAGTTCTCTGTATCCAGCTTTGGTTACACAGTATCTCTACCAAGCACAAAGATATTGTTTTTTGTTGGGTCCCTGGTCATGTTGACATACAGGGCAATGAACAGGCAGACACTGCTGCGTGGTCAGCAGTACATGACCTTCCAGTTTCATATAGAGGTGTTCCATTCACGGACTATTTTGCTGCAATTGCTACCCACTTCGCACCCGTTGGCAACGACGTTGGTCTGATCTGCTCAATAACAAACTTCATGTTATTAAACCGAGTATAGGTTACTGGCTGTCTTCTTGTCATCAGTGTCGAGGTTGAGAGACTGCTCCCTCCCGTCTTTGCATTGGCCACATTCAACTTACTCACAGGTATCTAATGGAGAGGCCCCCTGTTCCTCTATGTGCAAATTGTCAGGTTCCAGTATCTGTTAGCCACATTCTGTTGGATTGCCCACTCTGTCAACGAGTATGCAGAATTTACCTCTAACGTTGTCTCTGCTCTGCTGCTCTTTCTTTACCTTCCCTTCTTGCTGATGGACCCTCCTTTAATCTGGACTCTCTCATTGACTTTTTGATAACTGATTTACTCCACAAACTCTGATGATGATACCTTTAGCACTCCCCTCAGCCCTTTATATCTCAATCTCTTTTTACCCTCTACCCCTGCACTATCCACTGCCCCACTGTCCTCCGTAACCTACTAATCATCCCTCTGCCTCTTGCTACCCGATACCCCCGCATCCTTCCCTGCCCTGCAGCCCTGTATAGCCATTGTGGTTTAGTGCTTCTTTTTGATAAATAATAATAATAATAATAGATAATAATAATAGTAATAATAATAATAATTTGCTTGCCTTATTGGCAAGAGCGTTGCTATTTGAGCCAAAATTGAAAGTCTACCTATTTGGGCCCCAGACTCAGACTCGTGGAACTCGGTGTTCATTAAAAACTGCAAGAAACCCCTCTCATGGGCCCTAAGTATGCTATGGAGAAGGAGCTTAGACACAGGCGAGATTCCAGTCACTAAAAACAACAGATATAGCCCCACTCCATAAAAGTGGCAGCAAAGCAGTAGCTAAGAACTATAGACCAATAGCTTTAACGTCCCACATCATAAAAATCTTTGAAAGAGTTCTAAGAAGCAGGATAGCAAACCACCTGGACTCCCAAAAATTGCACAACTCAGGGCAACATGGTTTCAGAGCAGGTCGCTCCTGCCTCTCACAACTGCTAGACCACTATGATATGGTCCTAGATGCACTAGAAAACAAACAGAATGCACATGTAGTATACACAGACTTTGCAAAAGCCTTTGACAAGTGCGACCATGGCGTAATAACACACACAATGCATGCTAAAGGGATAACCGGCAAAGTTAGGCAGATGGATCTTCAACTTTCTAACCAATCGCACACAAAGAGTAGTGGTAAACAGAGTTAAATCAGATGCTGCCATAGTGAAGAGCTCTGTCGCACAAGGCACAGTACTTGCACCTGTCCTGTTCCTTATTCTCATATCAGCACTGTATCATCTTTTGCAGACGATACTAGGATCTGCATGAGAGTGTCATCCATTGAGGACACGGCAAAGCTCCAAGAAGATATAAACCAAGTTTTCAAATGGGCAACAGAGAACAATATGATGTTCAATGAAGACAGATTCCAACTACTCCATTATGGAAAACTGGAGGAAATAATAACTAGGACTGAGTATGCTACAAACTCCAATCACACAATAGAGCGGAAAAGTAATGTGAAGGAGCTGGGTGTGGTAATGTCTGAAGACCTCACCTTCAAGGACCACAACAATGCCACTATCACATCTGCTAGGAAACTGATAGGATGGATACTGAGAACATTCAGGACAAGAGATGCTAAGCCACTGATGATCCTTTTTAAATCACTTATTCTTTCTAGGCTGGAATACTGCTGTACATTAACATTCCCATTCAAGGCAGGTGAAATTGCAGACCTAGAGAATGTACTTATACTGCACGTATAAGTTCCATCAAACACCTTAACTACTGGGAGCGCCTGGAAACACTTGACTTGTACTCACTAGAGCGCAGGCGAGAGAGATGTATCATAATCGACACCTGGAAGATTCTGGAGAGACTGGTCCCTAATATGCACACAGCAATCACTCCATACGAAAGCAAAAGACTTAGCAGATGATGCAATGTACCCCCAGTGAAAAGTAGGGGCGTCACTGGTACACAACGAGAAAACGCAATAAGTGTCATAAGAACATAAGAAGAAGGAACACTGCAACAGGCCTACAGACCCATGCGGAGCAGGTCCATGTCCGTCCCCCCTGGATTAGGCCAATGATCCCCCCCCCCCGGATTAGCCCAATGACCCACCCAGTCTGGTCACCTCCACTCACAAGACTGTTTAACAGCCTCCCACCAGCAATAAGGGGCATTATGGGAAGACCCCTGGTTGTCTTCAAGAGAGAGCTGACAGATACCTAAAGACGGTGCTGGATCAGCCGGGCTGTGGTTCATACGTTGGATTGCGATGCGGCCAGCAGTAACAGCCTCGTTGATCAGGCCCTGATCTACTGGGAGGCCTGGTCGTGGACCGGGCCGTGGGGGCGTTGATCCCCGGAATGCCCTCCAGGTAGACTCCAGGTAGGTATATTCAACAAGTCGGCCGTCTCCCACCTAGGCAGGGTGACTCAAAAAGAAAGAAAATCCCCAAAACGAAAATACTTTCATCATCATTCAGCACTTTCACATAACTCATAGATAATCACTGTTTTTGCAGAGGTGCCCAGATACAACATTTTAGAAGCATATATAAAGATACAATATAAAAAGTGACCTGAAATAATATAATAAACTCCTAAATATAGAATATAATATCAGGGTCCCTAATTATATATATACCATCCTATTACACATTCCTCCAAACTGCCGATATTCCAAACCCCACCTTTAAAGTGCAGGCATTGTACTTCCCATTTCCAGAACTCAAGTCCGGCTATATAAAAATAACTGATTTCCCTGAATCCCATCACTAACTATTATCCTGCTCACACTCCAACAACTAGTCAGGTCCCAAAAACCATTCGTCTCCATTCACTCCTATCTAACACGCTCATGCACACTTGCTGGAAGTTCAAGCCCCTCGCCCACAAAACCTCCTTTACCCCCTCCCTCCAACCTTTTCGTGGATGACCCCCAACCCTGCCTCCTTTCCCTACAGATTTATACGCTCTCCATGTCATTCTACTTTCATCCATTCTCTCTAAATGACCAAACCACCTCAACAACCCGTCTTCAGTCCTCTGGCTAATACTTTTATTAACTCCACACCTTCTCCTAGTTTCCACACTTCGAATTGTCTGCATAATATTTACACCACACATTGCCCTTAGACAGGACGTCTCCACCGCCTCCAACCGCCTCCTTGCTGCTGCATTTACAACCCAAGCTTCACACCCGTATAAAAGTGTTGGTACCACTATACTTTCATACATTCCCTTCTTTGCTTCCACTGATAATGTTTTTTGTCCTAACGTATACCTCAACACACCACTTTTTGTCCTTCATCAATTCTATGGTTAACCTCATCCTTCATAAACCCATCCGCTGACACATCAACTTCCAAATTTCTGAAAACATTCACTTCTTCCATACTCCCTCTCTCCAATGTGATATCCAATTTTTCTTTATCTAAATCATTTGATACCCTCATCACCTTCCTCTTATCTATGTTCACTTTCAACTTTCTACCTTTACCCAAACTCGTCCACTAACCTTTGCAACTTTTCTGTAGAATCACCCATAAGCACAGTATATTGGCTCCCTCTTCTTCGTGTATTAGTGTGACTAGTCAGTGGTCCAGGTTGGATCAAAACATCATCATAGCTTCTCTCTCTTTTGTGAGAGTTATTTGTGTATCCTAGTCACAGTATTGTGCCTTTTTTGTTTTTTATGGAGCTTTCCATGTGAGAGATGTAATGTCATCCAGTTTTGTACAAACAATGTATCAGGTGGAAATAATTTGATTGATGGCTTGATTGATATGTAAACTGTATTTGCATGTTTGAACATATTGTATAAAGAAGAATTAAATTTCATAAAATCATTTACTAATTATTTATATAACATTTGCTGCTTTTACCTCATAAGTATGCAGACAAAAAATGAATTGAAGGTATGGCTTACCTGGGTCTAACATGTCTGAGAAAGTGATTGACCGAGCTTGGGTAGTGGTGCTCATCAGGATGAAGCCACACAACTGGTGCCCACTTTCTTGCTGCTGCCTCCCGCTCTGAGGGAACATAGTGCTAATGCTCCCAATGTTTTATTTATATATAACTAGTCTAACACAAGTGGCATAACAAACTTTGGTCAGGACAGTGTTTTGCTCTGTGTAAACGTTATAATCAGGTAAAATGTCCTACCTTATGCAGCCTCAGTAATGTCTCTCATCATTCTTGTTAGCAGTGTGTCCTTTTATACATTTTTATTCATTATTTGTATATAGCTTGTGTTGTTTGTACTTTATTTGTTCACAACTTTTGATTAGCTGTGTTATTAGCAACTCCTGCAATTTATCTGAATGGTTTGATTTTTCTATGTAAATAAACTACTGATTTTTTTATAGCGAAGAAGAAAATAAATTCCTAGGCATTAATATCAATGTGTGTGTCTGGTTCTTCGAGATCTTAGAATACAGGAAAGATTGTAAAAAATAATTTAGAGTTTTATGGCATCAAAACTGGAAATCAAGCAACGAACAAAAATAACAGTGTTAACGAGCAATTCATAAAACTTGCTATGCGTATGTCTAGGTTTGCAGACAGCAACCACCCAGGATGGTACTGTTATCCTGGTGGGTGAGGGTTGGCGATGTTTGAGCCGCGTAGCGCAGGCACAGCACAAGTGTTTAGTGTTAGAGTGCAACTGCTAGGTGGTTCTCTTCGGCAGATACCTCAGTTTTAACTAAACCAGCATGTTGAACATGGAATTCTGCAGTTCCTTTATTTCTGCCAATTTTGCAGAGAAATAGAGAGTGGAAAATACTGGCTGTGTGAAAATTGAAGGTGGTCGGTGGTGAAAGGGTGAGTGCGGGGGGGTACCCACATGACGATCCAGTGTATACGACACTCAGAGAGAGAGAGAGAGAGAGAGAGAGAGAGAGAGAGACAGAGACAGACAGAGACGAAGACAGACAGAAGAGAGAGAGCAGAAGGAAGAAGAGAGAAGACGAAGAACAGACACCAGCCAGCAAGCCAGCCAGGTCACTATCTCTGGGTTATGGTCATTATCTCTGAGTGATACTCTCTTTGGGTCACTCACTGTCTTGCTTATTTATTTAGTCGCTTAAGCAGAAAGATGTTTCAGTGAGATGAAACATGAAGGTGCTTCAGCAAGGTGACGAACACTGGCAAAGTGCTTCAGTAAGATGAACCAGTCTGGAAAGGTGCTTCAGTGAGGTAAAGCATGCTCAGTAGGTATTTCAGAAAATTGAAGCATGTTGGAAAAGGGCTTTAGTAAGGCGAAGCATTCAGGAAAGTTGCATCAGTAAAGAAGCACAGAAAATAGGCTTTAGCAAGAAGCACAGAATGGTGTTCAGTAAGGCGAAACACTACAGAGGTGCTTCAGTAAAGTGAAACATGCGGAAAACGTGAAACACATTGGAAAGAGGTTTCAGTAAGGCAAAGTATATAAGAAAGGTGCTTCAGTAAGGAAGTAGGCTGGAAAAGCCTGCAGTGAGGTGAGGCATGCAGATGTCATTCAGTAAGGTGAAGTATGCTGGAAATGTGCTTCAGTATGGTGAAGCATACTGGAAAAGTGCTTCAGTATGGTGAAGCATACTGGAAAGGTGCTTCAGTAAGGTGAAGCATGCTGGAAAGGTGCTTCAGTATGGTGAAGCATGCTGGAAAGGTGCTTCAGTATGGTGAAGCATGCTGGAAAGCTTCAGTAGGTGAAGTATACTGAGAAAGTGCTTCAGTGTGGTGAAGCATGCTGGAAAAGGGCTTCAGTATGGTGAAGCATACTGGAAAGGTGCTTCAGTATGGTGAGCATGCTGGAAAAGTGCTTCAGTATGGTGAAGCATACTGGAAAGGTGCTTCAGTATGGTGAAGCATGCTGGAAAGGTGCTTCAGTATGGTGAAGCATGCTGGAAAGCAGCTTCAGTAAGGTGAATTATGCTGGAAAGGTGCTTCAGTGTGGTGAAGCATGCTGGAAAGGTGCTTCAGTATGGTGAAGCATGCTGGAAAGGTGCTTCAGTATGGTGAAGCATGCTGGAAAGGTGCTTCAGTTGGTGAAGCTGTGCTGGAAAGGTGCTTCAGTAAGGTGAAGCATGCTGGAAAGGTGCTTCAGTAAGGGAAGCATGCTGGAAAGGTGCTTCAGTAGGTGAAGCATGCTGGAAAGGTCTTCAGTAGGTGAAGCATGCTGGAAAGGTGCTTCAGTATGGTGAAGCATGCTGGAAAGGTGCTTCAGTATGGTGAAGCATGCTGGAAAGGTGCTTCAGTATGGTGAAGCATGCTGGAAAGGTGCTTCAGTATGGTGAAGCGTGCTGGAAAGGTGCTTCAGTAAGGTGTGAAAGTTTATTCTGGGAAAGGTCTTCAGTAAGGTGAAGCATGCTGGAAAGGTGCTTCAGTATGGTGAAGCATGCTGGAAAGGTGCTTCAGTATGGTGAAGCATGCTGGAAAGGTGCTTCAGTATGGTGAAGCATGCTGGAAAGGTGCTTCAGTAAGGTGAAGCATGCTGGAAAGGTGCTTCAGTATGGTGAAGCATGCTGGAAAGGTGCTTCAGTAAAGGTGAAGCATGCTGGAAAATGTATTCAGTAGGTGAAGCATGCTGGAAAGGTACTTCAGTATGGTGAAGCATGCTGGAAAGGTACTTCAGTATGGTGAAGCATGCTGGGAAGCACTTCAGTATGGTGAAGCATTGCTGGAAAGGTACTTCAGTAGGTGAAGCATGCTGGAAAGGTGCTTCAGTATGGTGAAGCATGCTGGAAAGGTACTTCAGTATGGTGAAGCATGCTGGAAAGGTACTTCAGTATGGTGAAGCATGCTGGAAAGGTACTTCAGTATGGTGAAGCATGCTGGAAAGGTACTTCAGTAAGGTGAAGCATGCTGGAAAGGTACTTCAGTATGGTGAAGCATGCTGGAAAGGTGCTTCAGTATGGTGAAGCATGCTGGAAAGGTGCTTCAGTATGGTGAAGCATGCTGGAAAGGTGCTTCAGTATGGTGAAGCATGCTGGAAAGGTACTTCAGTAAGGTGAAGCATGCTGGAAAGGTACTTCAGTATGGTGAAGCATGCTGGAAAGGTGCTTCAGTAAGGTGAAGCATGCTGGAAAGGTACTTCAGTATGGTGAAGCATGCTGGAAAGGTGCTTCAGTATGGTGAAGCATGCTGGAAAGCAGCTTCAGTAAGGTGAAGCATGCTGGAAAGGTGCTTCAGTAAGGTGAAGCATGCTGGAAAGGTGCTTCAGTAAAGGTGAAGCATGCTGGAAAGGTGCTTCAGTATGGTGAAGCATGCTGGAAAGGTGCTTCAGTAAGGTGAAGCATGCTGGAAAGGTGCTTCAGTATGGTGAAGCATGCTGGAAAGGTGCTTCAGTAAGGTGAAGCATGCTGGAAAGGTGCTTCAGTAAGGTGAAGCATGCTGGAAAGGTACTTCAGTAAGGTGAAGCACGCTCAAAAGCGTTTCAATAAGGTGAAGCATTATTGTTATAATGGTACATGAGGAAATTTAGGGTTTGGGTAACAAGCTTTGAAAGGTACTTATATGGTGAGCCCTAAGTTGCTTTTTTGCATCTGGAAGGTGTTTCTCTGGTGAGATGCGTGGCTTAGAAGTAAAGCTGCTTGGGATCAAAGGTAAGTGCTAAATATTGTTGGGGAGCCTAAATATTAAGTAATGTGATTCAAGTGGAAGGACTTTAGTATGGGAATAAAAGGTCTTAATAAGAAGAATATATTATAAATAAATGGGTTGTAAATGAATTTAAACAGAATGTTATTTTTTTTTTTAATTTTTCCGGGTAAGAAAAATGCTTTGGCATGCTAATAAATATGTGATCAATTTAAAATGTTTTCGGAGGTCATATGGTAAACGGTTAGGAAAATTTTTGGATGTGTGCTGCTGCACTTTTAATTATAATGAAAAAAAAAGGCCATCCTGCGTTGTTGTTGAAAAAATACGTGTGTCGCTTCTTAAGAGGGTGGTACTGTATTGGATGTGACGTGTTATTTGTAAAAAAAAATAATAAGCCTCTGCGTTAAGTGTGAGGAAAGAGAAATGTAATCTTCACGGGTTGGGCTGTATTGGTACTTTTGGTAAATACGTAATATTCACAAGGTTAATTGAGGAAGACTTCAGAGCCACAACAGGGTTTAAAAATCTGCAAGCGTAACATGGCTGCGTATGATCATAATTTTATGACTGGTATATGTGCCCACAATTCAAACAACGAGCCATCTCTAACATTTAGATATTTTATAAGGCTGCGTTTCGCTCCCAGCGAGTGATATGTAACCTAATAAAATATCTAAACCTTTGCATTAACAGTGTATATTATTATATCCCTGGGTAAAGGCTAAACTCGTAAGGGTCATACAACGTCTGGGGAATGGGAGGTAACGAGGCTTCATCTAAGGAAAAGGAGTGGGGGAGAAAAGTCAAGTTCCCTTGATCGAGACTTCTTGACCATCAACACAACATTGTAGGGCCATTAATATTGAGAGATTGGTTTAGAAAGACGCATCAGCAAACACTAGGATATATTTATTAGAAAACGTTTCGATCCTGTCACCTTGATCACTTCTAACATACTGAGGTAGGTATGTCTGTCAGGAAAGAGGACAAGTGTTTCCTGACGCGGGTCTTAGTCATAAGATGACCCGTAATTAGAGCTTTCGGTTATCTGATCGAGGCCTTCCGCTGGCTTACCGGTCCACCTCTTTAAAAATTATTGTTATGATTATAATCCTTTCTAACTAAGGTACAGAGGTTAAAAAGACAGACAGACAGACAGACACACACACACACACACACACACACACACCACACACACACACACACACACACCACACACACACACACACACACACACACACACACACACACACACATATATATATATATATATTATATATATATATATATATATATATATATATATATTTATATTATATATATATAAACCGGAAAGTGAGGTGTTACACATGGTGACCTGAAGAATACCAAATGTCATATTGGGGTGAGGACAGGTAGACAATGGGATTATGTGACAACTGTGTTGTTAGGTAGATGGTGCTTTCCC